ACGCGATCATTTATTTCTTTTCCCAAAAAACCTTCACATAAAATGTATATCAAACATACTCTAACTGTATCGACGTCATCAACTTCTAAGAATGGTTGATTTAAAATAAAACTTTTCAGGTCACCGATTTTCACCGAACTATTTGTATAGTTCGGAAATAGCCGCTCACGCAATAAACATCTTTTTTTACTACTAACTATTTTTTCTGACACTTTTTTCCCGATGTTTTTTGGATACTCTGCAAATTTCAACCCGGTTATCAAACAAAACTCTTCCGGCCCATATACCATTTTCGTATCGCCTACTCTAAAATATAACCGTTTTATTCCATCTGGAGATAAAACAGCGTCCAGCCGTATCTGATGAAGGAACATTTTGTGGAACAACAATCCGTCCCCTTGTAAACGAGGGACGTCCAACAAGTAACCAAATACTGTATCTCTAAATATATCACGTCTCAAACCATCTAACACTTCAAATACTTCCCATATAAACAAACAATTTTACAATAGCTTTCACATCGAGATTATTATAATCATGCTGCACAAAACTCAATAACATATTAGAAAACTAAACAACTATTTCATTTTAAAATATATGATTATTAAATGCAATAATAACATAAACAATAATAACAATGCAAATACAAATATTTAATAAATAATTTATATATTTACGATAAAAAACAATAACATACTATAACAATTTTTCAACTTAAACGGCAACTATATAAACAATTTTCCAAGTTATACGACAAATATACAAACGATTTTTATCTTTCTAATTATATAAAATAACATTTTCTAACCATATAAACAAACAATTTTTCAACTAAAACGACAACTAAATTAACAATTTTTCAACTTATACGACAAATATACAAACAATTTTTAACTTTCAAATTATATAAAATAACATTTTCTAACCATACTATAAAATTTTTTCTACTAAAACAACAAATATATACAAATTTTCAAGATATACGACAAAATATACAAACGACTATTGTACACAAATATATAAAATAACATTTTCTAACCATACTATAAAAAATTTTATACTTCACCAACAAATATATACAAATTTTCAACTTATACGACAAATATACAAACGACTATTGTACACATATTGTAAACATTATTTTAATCATTTTTCAATTTATAAAAACAATTATACGATAAGAATATACAAATTTTCAAGTTATACAACAACTATACAAATAGACCTGGCAATTCGTGTATTCGTGTCATAAAAACGTGTCAGCCACGAATTTGACACGATACGATTACACGATGATAAATAAGCTATATCTCAGTTTTTAAGATTTATTCGTGTCGTGTATTCGTGTCGTGTCGTGTCTCTCACAGACTCGTGTATTCGTGTCAGAAATTGTCAGGTCTATATACAAACGACAAATAACATATTCTAACCATGCTATATCAATTTATCAACTTAAACCACTAACCAAATATATTGTAAACATTATTCTAACAATTTATTTAATTAATAACTTAAAAAAATTAGCATATTCTAACAATTTTACTAAATGTACAACTACCCGATGCACACTCTACGCAGTCTCTACTTGTACATTCATACAACCACTAACAAAATAACATTTAAACTTCAAGTTTACTAATAACAAATATTAAAACTATCAAATACAACAAAATTACCCTATCACAAACAATATAATTTCTTTTTTTTTTACACTAACTAATACAATAAATAATAAAATAATAAAGACATATACTAAATAAATGTTAATTAAAACATAAAAAGAGTTAAAATCTAACCATATTTTCGGGATTGTTGAAATAATCGTCCATTTTTTTCAAGAAATCGTCAAAAGGAATCCCCGAGAGAGAGAGTTTTTCTATATTGAAGAGTGAAAAATGAGGAAAAAAAAATCGTTTTATAGATTTTCACAACCAAAATCGCAGATGAACAGTACAAATCGCAGATGGACTTTTCCATCTACGAATGTACAAGTGCCTAAAACACAACTGTGCTTTAGGCACTTGTATATTCGCAGATGGAAAGCCAAAATCACAGATGGGGCATTTCCATCTGCGAATTTAGTGGTTATTTTTGCAATTTCTATTTTTTTGGCTAAATTTGTAAGGTAATTAGTGTATTTGACTAATTTTGTAATTTTCTCTAAAAAATTACATATCTTTTTACTAGTGTCATTTGCATCAATTTTATATACCTTCTTCTCAATGTATACAACCTCCTTCTCAATGTATACAACCGGACAATCATTCATCATAGTGGGCCCTACCTCATGCTACAAATGCACCATCCATCTTTGAATTTGAAATATCTCAATGTTATATATATTTGTTACAAAATAAATAAACTTTATTGGCCAATCATTTTTACCTTAGATTCTTTGTATCTAACATTTATTTTTAAATGCCAACTAATTACATGGCATTTAATATATCTTTTTATCTTTTAGACTAAGGGGGAGTGCTATGTGGTTTGGCCGCACTCTTTGCCACATAGGCAGAAGAAAACGCCTTCCTATGCGGTCTTGGGTACAGTTTGACTGCACCTCTCCACATTTCTACGGTGTTTCTTGATTGGCCAGTCCTTTTTGACCGTTTGAATGGTCAAAAAATTCATATATATATATATATATATATATATATATATATATATATATATATATTACTTTACCTATTTATTTACCCATATATTTTTTTTATCTAATCTCACTCAAATTTCTTCATTTTTTACAATTTTTAGCTCAAAAAATGTTAAGATGTTTTCTTCCAACAACCCAAACAACCAAAAAACACCACTAGAAATACCACAACCCCAAGATCTTCATACGATCAACCGATTTATTCGACCACATTTTATCATTATAGGGGTATGCTACCTTATTATCCACAACAATTCTTACAACCACAACGATCAATAGAACCACTCCACAAACACAACCACAACCGGACCCATATTTTAATCCATTTGAATTTTTGTCCCAACCTAAGTATGTTCATCAAACTCAACCACAACCATGAACACTGATTTTTGATTCCGAACCCGAATTCGTTCAAAAAACTCAACCCACTCGCGCACCAAATAAAAAAAAAGAGGACGGAGGCTAAAGGATGGGAACCCCAAAAAGTGTTAGTATTAGCACAATCATGGAGCGATATTTCAGAAGATGCGACGACATGAAAAGACAAAAAACTTGACCGTTTTTGGATGTGAGTTAGACATAGGGTCCACAAAGTAATGAACCGTGAAGATTATCGTTCAAAACACCAAATGTACTCAAAATGGGGGGAGATAAACAAGGAAATCATGTTGTTTAATGATTTTTATAACAACATGATGTCAATGGAAAAACGCAGAAAGTGATGATGTGATTTTGTAGAAAGCGCTGAAAGTGTACCAAAGAGAAAACAAGAAGGCTTTCAAGGAATCCGACCACACTACATCCGATGCTTGTGTTGGTTTCGACATCAACGATGATAAACCGGTTCAAGTTTCACCCCTTCCCGACCAATTGGCATGGACAAAGCAAAAAGCAACGACAAATGCAAAACGTCAAATTCAGATGAGTTGAAAGAAATGAGGGCTGATATGAATGGTATAAAAGATAGAATGAACAAAATTTTGCAACTTGTTTCCGAAAGGGAGCTTCGGAAATAAATAGATAACGACTTGAGAATACTAACGATGAATACATCGCAGATGACCGGGGAGGAGCTTGAAATTGCTTTGACAATGAAAGCCGATCTCAAAAAACGTTATGCTAATAAATATGTTTAAAATTTCTATTTTTTTCTCTAAGTTTTTAATCGTTTCATTTGTGTGTGTGTTTTTTTAAGGTTGTAGGTTTAAGTTTTTTAGTTTTTTTTTTCCGAAGTTTTTAGGGTTTCTTTTTTTTTAATGTGATGTTATGTTTTTTTTAATTAATATAATGTAATGGATTTTATTTAAGTAATAAAATGTTATGTTTTTTATGAAAGTGAAAGTTTTTATTTAAATTAAATTGTTAAAAAAATTGGGCACCTCTCATTGGGTGTGTCAAGGAACAATATTAAAGCTGATGTGTCGCTTACGTGACAGTGAAGAGAGTGTGATTTCTGTGACACCGCTCCCTTTAGCCTTATCGGTAATGGTGACGATAACTCATTGTAATACTAATTATATTTTTCATGAAGATCAAAACGAGAGCAAAATTAAGATTCAAAACAAAAATCAGCGAGGCTTTTTTTTTTTTTTTTTTTTTTTTTTGTAAAGGGTCTTTCTCTTGTGATTCTTACTGAATATACATTTATTTTGTGATAAAAACTACAAAAATAGTCATATTTGCAAATTAGAACCGTTAATACAGTCGTTTTAATGATTAGCTTTTGTAAATGGGGTTTTGATAAAGTCCATACCTTATCGAAACACTAAAACCCAACTAATTTTTTAAAAAAATACAAGTATTTTTCGCTAATACATGACTTAACGAACTCAACAAGTGACCACAAGTTAAGGAAAAAAAAATTAAAATAAGTAGCCAGCTTTCGATTTTTTTTATAGCTTAAGCGACTTAATTAGTAATTAGTAATGCTAAAAGAGTTTTTATATCAAATATATGTATATCTTTTTTTTTTATAAAAACACTTTTTATATTTCATGTAGAGTTATTTTTACTATTTTATTTAAACTTACATTAGATTTTATATATATAAATTTTTTTTTGGAACGAGCAAATAATTATATATCTCATGACTGAGATTGAACCCAGAGTAAAAATATATTTTTAGCCCAAAAATGTAGTATTACAGTAAAAATGAGCCGAAACAGCATAATCATAGTTACAAAAGGATAAATATAAGATACGAGAGGAATAGGCCACTACCATACACTTTCTTACATCGCTAAGGACAACAAATTGATGAATTCCATACAAATCTAATCACTTGACATCTATTTATACCCCAAACACCACGATCAATTAACAAATAACTGAAAGCAAATTAAATAAAATGGATCAAATTCATGAAGTATGTGTTGTGATGGTGCCTTTTATAGCACAAGGCCATCTCAACCAGCTCCTCCACCTCTCACGTCTAATCTCCGCCTACAACCTCCCTGTTCACTTCGTCTGCGCCACCAATCACACCCGCCAAGCCAAACTTCGCATCCATGGCTGGGACCCACTTGCTGTTGACAACATCCACTTCCATGAATTTCCGGTACCCTCCTACCCAAATCCTCCACCTAATCCCAACGCCACCATACGCTTCCCCAACCACCTCATGCCGTCATTCAAAGCCATCATGCACCTCCGTGAACCGTTCTCGAAACTACTCTCCGATCTGTCAGCCACCACAAAACGGGTCGTTATTGTTCATGATTACTTGATGAGCTCCGTCGTTCAAGATTTCAGTTTGGTGCCTAACGCTGAGGTTTACATGTTTCAAAGCTGTTCTGCTTTCACTGCGTTTTTGTACCATTGGGAGGAAACACAAACGTTAAAATTAGATGATGAAACTGAGTCTTTATGGAAGAAGGTCCCGTCGCATGATGGTTGTTTCAGCCAGGAGTTCTTCGAGCTTCTTGAGTCTGAAGACTCTTCTTTCAAGAAGATCAGCTCCGGAACGCTTTACGACACTAGTAAAGTGTTCGAAGAGAAGTTTTTGTCACTACTTAAAAACGAAGGAATTGATTCAGGTACGACTAAGAATTGGGCAATCGGTCCGTTTAATCCGGTTACTATATCGGATCATAAGAACCCCACTACTGAATCAAAAAAGTTATTCAACTGGCTTGATAAACAGGAAGCAAATTCGGTGATTTATGTTTCGTTTGGGACAACAGTTTCGTTAAGTGATGAAGAAGCAAGAGAAATCGCGATCGGGTTGGAAGAAAGTGGTCAGAAGTTCATATGGGTGGTAAGGGAAGCCGATAAGGGTGACATTTTTAACGGAGAAGATGACCGGATGGTTGAGCTGCCGGAAGGGTATGAAGAGAGGGTGGAGACGAAGGGGGTGGGAGTGGTGGTGAGGGGGTGGGCACCACAGCTTGAGATATTGGGACACCCATCTACTGGTGGATTCATGAGCCATTGTGGTTGGAATTCTTGCATGGAGGGAATCACAATGGGGGTGCCGATTGCTGCATGGCCCATGCATTCCGACCAACCGAGGAATGCGGTGCTAATTACAGAGTTTCTTGGAGTCGGAATATACGCGAGGGAATGGGTTCGTAGAGATGAGAAGGTGGTGGCGTCTATGGTTGAGGGGGCAGTCCGGCGGTTAATGTCATCAGAAGAAGGGTGTCTGGTAAGAAAGAAGGCGGCAGAACTCGGTTTTGCTGTGCGGCGATCGGTGGAAGAAGGTGGTGTAATGCGTAATGAATTGGATGCCTTTGTCACTGAAATCACAAGATCATAAGAGATACTCTCGAGTGTTTTTTTTTTTTGTGTGTGTGTGTGTGTGTGTGTGGGGGGGGGGGGGGGGGGGGGGGCGGGTTATTTTATAAGTTGTTTGGCTCTTGTTACATGTCTCGATCTGCTATTATATCTTAAACAACGTCTGATGTATAATCAAATCATTTTTGGATATAATAATATAAAAATTGGAATGAAGGACATTAATTCACGACTTTTATAGCTTCCAATAAAATGTGGATACATGCAATCGATAAAAGAAAGGTGTTTGGGAGTCATGATCGAATCGTTTTTCTAGAGAAATTGATACCCAAGTTTTTGATGTTTTTTTTCGGATTAGTTAGTTTATTTTTTGTTTTTCTTTTCTTTTTATGCATAAGAAATTCTTAAAATACTATTCTACCTCCTTTTTTTTTAAATTTAATTACAGTTTCACCGGTTTCAACATAAAACATTAAAATTAAGAGCATCTTCAATGAAAGGTTTTTTTTTTTTTTTTTTATAGTTTACTACTATTTGGAGGGTGTTTGACAAAAGCTTAAAAAAAAATGAGTTTTTTGATTTATTACCGGTTCCCCACCGATATAAGTCAAAAAAGTGTTTTGGTAAGGATTTTTAAAAAAATAGTTTATAGCTGTTTCACACCTGTAATAAGTCATTTTTCATTAGTCATCTATCCCTTACTTATTAAAACCAATTATTTCACCATTTAAAGAAATTGAAAAATCTACCCCTTAACCTAACGTTAACATCGACACAAATAGAACGCCTCCATCCCTGCATCTGTTCTCCTCTCCTCCATCGATGCTTCTGTTGTCGATCGTGACTCCTCAAGCCATCCCTCCCCTGCTCGTCGCCGTTAGCCCTATCCTCGCCACCGGCCACAGATCATTGCAGCCCACAGGTTTGCGCTTTTTCCTTTCTATTTCTGCCTTCCTTCGTGTTTGTGTTGCTGTCGACTTCCCTAGTTGCGACTTGTAATGTGTCGATTTTATTCTTTTCAGTGTTGTCGGTTTTTTGGTTCTCTAAATTTGTGTTCTGTCGATTTTTTGATTTGAATTGGAGTTGTCGATTTTTCCATCTTTTCCTTATTGTCTATTTGTATCTGATATGAATTTGCATTGTTGTTGATTTTTCCTTTAACGTGTAGTTTGAATGTGTCGAATTCAGAACTTTGAATGTGAAATCAGATTTGTGTTTTTGTCGATTTTTCCTGCTTCAATTATCAATGAAATTCTTTGGATGCTTATATGATACATTGAATGACCTTTTTGGTAATTTTGCACATATAAGCTGTTTTTTGCCAAACACTAAAAATGACTTATGAACTTATAAAGCTTAGCCAAACACTTTTTTAAAAACTTTATTTGGACACCGCTATAAGCAAGTTAAAAGCTAAAAACCTTTTTCAAAATAAGCTTTGCCAAACACCCTCTTGGTTGAGTGGTCAAAATAACTTAACACCATTGGAATAGATACTTTTTTTTGCTTATTTTTATTGACCACTCAATATATATTGAGTGGTCAATATAGTTTAATATCTTGAACACTATAACCCTTTCTTTTTAATGATATTTTTATTGACCACTCAATATAGTTGCTCAACTCATTCTCTAGTTGCATAGTTGTGGATTCGAAATCATCATAGAAAAGGGCATGTAAGTTCAACCATATCTTGAGAGTTGTTGCTTTAATGGAGTAGGCTGAAGTGATGATATTTTGAGATATAGATCCGAACAACCATAATTTGATAATCCGATCGAGTTCTTCCCACTCAGTGGTCGTAAGGGGGAGTTTGGAGGGTCGTATGTCGAGTCAATGTGATTATCAACACCATACACAATACAGTGAGATTGAAAGAGGTCACTCCTTAGTCCGTAGTTGTGGGTGGTGAGATCTAGAATGAGAGGGACGTAGTTTTTAATGTTGGTGATACCGAAGGCCTTGGGGTATTAAAAGTTATATTTCTGGATATTAAGGGTTATATTGTGACATATGGACTAGTATTGAATAGATTTTTGGAAGCAGGGGGTTATAGAGTAAATTATGGTCTTGAATTGAAAAGAATAGAGAGGAAGGGGCCAGAAGTGTAAAAATTTGTCACAAGTTTGAGATTGGAGACGGGGACTTAAACCCGTCGGCCGTCGCCCCCTCGTTTCCCCTCGTCTCGGATGCACCCGAAACGCGAACCCTAAATTGCTCTCCAGCCTCCACCCTTATCACCCCTCACCTCTAGCCGCCGCCATCTCCACTGTCGGAATCGGGAACCACCAAGCCGAGCATCGTCGTTGCTGTTTCCGCTGCCATTGAAGACGAAGGCCGCCGTTTGGACATCGTGACAGTGGGCGATCGGAAAAAATAAAGCTCGTGGCTGTCGTTGCCGCTATTCCCGGTTAGAGGTCGTGCACCCTTCTCTTTCCGTCTCTTTCTGTTACAACAACGTTGTCGCCTCCGCCGCTCCGAGCGGATGTCACGTCTTGTTGCCATTACTCCGACCGCCACACGTCACCACTAGGGTGGCTGAGTTTGGGTGCCTATTTCAGTGTAGGAACTTGTGTTCGTGTATGTGTTGCTGCTACAACCCATGAAGTGAGTGTGGATGTGTTTTGTGGCCGAAAAGCGTGAAGAACCACCATGACAGCCAACCATGGTGGCTTCCGCCCTGTTGCCTTTTTTTGCCACCACCATCCACAGTGTGAGGTGGTTGTATGTGTAATATTGTGTGAACGTGTGTGTTTTAAAGGTGTGATGCCGTATGAACATTTCTTGGTCGGAGAATCGAAGAAAACCCAACACCACCAATGTGAGGTGGTAGCTGCCACCTCCTGCCGCCGTCTGCCACCATCTTGGTATGTATTGGACATTTTTTGTATTCTTTTGGTGCCAGTGTGTGTTTGTATGTAGGAACTTTTATGTGTGCTTGGTTGCTGAATTTATCACCCGAACCCGCCGTTGTGTGCTGGTGGCTGCCGCCACGGACCGCCTTCGACCACCACTGCCCGAGGTGGCAGTGGGTGGTGCCCGACTTATTACACATTAATTTTACCTAAGAATCTAACTTTAGACCGAGTGGCACACGTTTGGGTTGGAAACCCTAATTAGGGGTTATAAAACCCTAATGTCAAGAAGGTTAGATTAGGTGTCTAAACTCATAACTATAATTGGTATAAACTTGAATTGATAGTAGCAATGTCCTTTTGGGTTGCCTTCAAACCTGACAATTGAATAGGATAACTGTTAGAGAGAGAAGAATGATATATTAATTTATTACTTGGTTAATAAATTAATTAGAAATCAAAATAAATGATTTATTAATGTATTATGGAAATAATATATTAATTAGAAATCATAATGTTTAATTAATATTTAATCAGAAATTAATTTGGAATTAATTTTGGGATTAAAGGAATTAATTGAAACTACAGGGACTAAAGGTGACAATGTTCAATAGTTGAGCATTGGGCAGTTCTAGAACCTCCCTAAAGGGGGGTGAACGAAATCTAGAGTGTCCTTGGGTTTCCTTGGGCTCTAAGGGTGCCTTGGATGCCTTAGGGAGGAAGTTAAGGGATTAGGGTTATCCTAGATACACCTGCCTTATCCAGTACCTTCATAACACCTATATAATCCCTTTACCATAAGGAATTTCGTCAATGCTCTTTAGATAAGCCTTTTGGACGAAATTTTCTTCCCTTCTCTCTCTCAAAAGTGTTCCTTGGTTGCTAGGTTTGTTTGTAAGCCATTAGAGACAGGACACTTGTGGCGCTTGCTACCAAAGGTCTTTCAAGCAAGGTTTTTAGATTGTTATTACTATATAGCAATCAAGGTATGCTCCTAAACCCTAATTCTGTGTAATTTTCGAATTATATATGCTAGATCTAGGGTTTTGCTTTGGTATTCAATTTGCATGTTCAACTAGTGAAAAACTTAGATCCAAAACAATTAAGGTTGCATGATCACATAGGATGTAGTTATGCTCAAAACTCATCAGTGGTATCAGAGACTAGGATGTTTTTCAGTCGCATTTGATGCATATGTGAATTGTCTAAAGGAGGAGGGAACAGATTCGTCAATCTGTTCATCAAACTCGACGAGTTCATGGAGGAACTCGACGAGTTGAGCCTACTTGACGAATTCACTGCAATAACTCGACGAGTCGGGCTGTCAGATCCCTGATTTTTCGATTTTGATATCTGGATTTGATTATGATAATTACCATAATTCGTTTTTATTGCTTACAATTGAATTTTTTGAAAAGGTAATGTTATATCCTTATCAAATTAAGTGATTTGGTCAACTTTTTAGATAAAGACAAAATTAATTGATTAATTTAATTATTTAAAATTTGATCTAATATTTTTGAAAAGTTTTAAAAATACCCTTTTGGTTTTGAAATTTAAAATTTAATTAAAAGTTTAATTTTTGAAATCTGAAATTCTAGAACCATAGTATTTTAAAAGGTTTAAAGTACACGGATGTTGTTAATAATTTAATTAAATATTTAATTAAAATATAATTAATAAATCCATAAAAAGGTTTAAGTTTAATCAAATTAAAAGTTTAATTTATTAAAATATTAAACCTCTAGTATTTTAAAGGTTTAAAATACACCTTTATACTATTATAGAATTAAAAGTTTAATCTATATATATGTATATATATATATATATATATATATATATATATATGTGTGTGTGTGTGTGTGTGGTGTGTGTGTGTAAGAAAAATGTCAGTCTTACCGTTAGTAGGCCTCATTCACGAAGCTGGTCTATAAGGGGTGTTTAAGGAAGCGGCTTGTAAAATGACCGTCATTGGGTATCCAGTCTTACCCACCGCACTCTTGACTAGTGGAGGGTCGTTAGTCGAATGGGTATGATAGGACATTAAATCCTCATTAATAAGTATAATGATAAATATAAAGTAACTAAATTTTTTACAAATTCCCAATCTTAGTTACTTTAGGAAAATGTGAATTTGATGCTAATCCATGAAATTGTACATTGCACT